CCCAGAGGCACGGAGGTAAACCCAAGTTTCTTACTCTGGACACTGGAAGCAGCTGGGCCAGGTGTACACGGCACTGAACTGCGGCAGGGAAAACTCGCCGGACGCCGTCTGGGAGGCTCCTTTCTCCCAGAGCCCACATAAAAGCACCTGGGCGTTAACAGCAGCCACACACACGCTGTTTTCTCGGACCTTCCTCAGGCTTTGCCAACCTACCTAAATCTGAACGGGTTCCACACCAGGGAACAAATACCTTTTCTTAATCTCTTCTGAACGCTACGCAGAGCGACCAACCATTGAGCACCGCTGCCTTGAACACTGGCGGCACATGAGCACAGAACGAACTGATCAGAAACATTATCTTACTTTCCACTCAGCGGGCTGTCACGGGAGGGGGGCGGGCACGGCCGCAGAAGTCCATGAGGGGCACAGCCGAGACGCACGCTCCCGCACCGCCCCGTGCCGGGGGAAGGGGCGATGGCGCTCCCGCCTCTCGGGTGCCCGCCCCGCGGCGCGCGGCGCAGGCGCGTTGGCAGCATAGAGCGGGCCGGGCCGGGCCGGGCCGGGGCAGAGCCCGCGGGAGGCGGCGGCAGCGGGGCAGGTGCGGGGCGGCCGCGGCAGGCGGGAGGGAGGGGGCGCGGGCCGACCCAGGCTGGGAGTGCATGGTAGGATGTGCGGGCAGGGCAGGGCCGGGCCGGGCGGCTGCCGGTCGGGTCCTGCGGGGACGCCCCTCTGCAGTGCCGCCAACCCCCGGCCGGCGCTTCTCGGCCCGCGGGTGCTGCTGGTACCGCATCTGCCCCGTTCCGCAGTTCGAGGCGGGGATGGGAACGGGCGGGGTGCGGGGATGCGAGGCCCCGAGGCGAACACCTCCGTCTGCCAGGCCCGTGCACTGGCCTGGGGCGGCGGGGGGACAATGCAGAACCATTCCGCTTCGGCCTTCAGGAATATCTAGTTCTAAAATAACCCATTCCAGAATGATCCCAGCTGAGAAGGCGGGGATTACATCATTGAAACGGTGGTATTTAATGCTTTGCAGTAATCTAGATCAGTTATTTTTGTAAACAAAGGCATAGTTACTCAACGAACCATGGGCATGTACAGCATTAGGCCTAGGAAAAATAATTAAAGAATGGTGAAGAATGTTGCTCCACCAGCAACTGACCCTTCAGAATTACAAAAATACATCTAAAATTCAAATATAATGGAAGTTCCAATAATTGCTGCCTCCATTTTTTTTTCCTTTAAGCAGAGTATCGCTCAAGAAAACTCTCTTCGAAAGTGGAAAGAGCCCCTACCACAATGATGAACGCTGATATGGATGGTATAAATTCTTAATGTTCTTGTTCTTCATTTTTATTCTATTTAGTATAATTTTTAATTGTTAACAGAGGTTGCACTAAAACTCTTGTGCTTTATTGCAGCTGTTGAGGCTGAGAATCAGGTGGAATTAGAAGAGAAAACACGGCTTATTAATCAAGTTTTGGAACTGCAGCACACACTTGAAGGTTAGCAGCTTGACATATCAGATTTTTTTACAAGTACACAGTAATAAGCAGAAGAGAACCTGACTGCTCTGCCCTTAGTCACAGTGTCCAGAAGTATGTCACTTAATGCAGCTGAAGGTACAAAACCAAGGTCTTGGAAATAGTTTTTTTCTTCCTCTTTATGCAACATTACGTTTGCTCAACCTTGGTAGTACACAGCAAGTAGAATGGGTGATACAGCTAATATGTCTGTGCTTATCAGAAGACACATATCTGAGGCTGCTCATCACTGAACTCTTGTTTCCAAGTAATTTAGTTTGCAATAGCTTAATTCAAAAATTCAAGAAAGCAATAAACTTAGAGACTAGCAAGTCAGTTTAACAAGTTGGTCAAAGTACTGTACTACAAAATAATAGAGGAAAAATGGCCTTTAGGTAAAACATTAGTAGGAGAATATTTTATAATACCCTATGATAATGTTTTCTGGATTAAAGGTGTGACTAGTCTGATGTAGGCCCATAGAACATATTTATTATTGTATGTAATAGTGTATAATATTTTTCTTATAATATCACCTTCACAGATCTCTCAGCACGAGTAGATGCTGTTAAGGAAGAAAACTTGAAACTGAAATCAGAAAACCAAGTTCTTGGACAGTATATAGAAAATCTGATGTCAGCATCTAGTGTTTTCCAAACAACTGACACAAAAAGCAAAAGGAAGTAAGGGTTGACTCACAGATTATGTCATTGTATTGCTGCTGGTTTTTTTTTGTTTTGTTTTAACTGGCATAGGCTACATAAGCTAAAATACTTTAGTTTGTGGCTTACTGGATTCTCAAAGATTATAGACTTTGATAATAAACAGAATTAAGAGCATTATCATGAACACAAGACAGAAGATTGTGTATTAAGATTGAGCAATGTGCAAATGTAGAGTAGATAATTACAAAATTTTTGTATGTTTTAAAAATTACCATATCTTGTTAAAAAGAAGATTAGTTTGTTACGTTAAACAAAGGTCTGTTGGTATTCTGAGGTCTTAGGGTAGATTTCTTGACTATGTTGTGTTACAATATTGTGTTGAAACCCCATTTGATAAAAATATTCAGAGTTTATTGCATCACTTTTTTGCACCTGAGATGTGTTTACTGCATAGTGCTGTTCACAGTTCTGAAAAACAAAACAAAAACCTATAAACTAGTTAAGCATTTCTGTGAAGTAGGAACAGTATGACATTACTTGCAGGGCTTACTTACAGAAAAACACCTCAGATGGTTTTGGGAAGGGGGAAGGTAAGAGGAGCAACAGGGGTAAGCAACTTATCAGGGAAATACCAAACTGGTGAAGTATCAGATGCAATATGTACACTTGAAACCATTGCTACTTTCCCATTTCCCTGAAGAATGCCCAGGCACATCATCACAACGTATGATCTTCCTGAAGTTCTTCTGTTGTGTGATGAAAAGTAAAGTAAAAACCTGAGTGATAAACTTTGCAAGAAGAGATCAGCAATGCTCCTCATGCTTGTGAACAGTGAGGAACAGAGAACAAGTCTTTTCCTTCCCACCTTTCACTTTCCTCCTGCAGTGCCAAACTTGTCTTTGCTTCTGGCCTCAGAGCAGGTGTTTTCCTGCCTCACAGCCTACAATTGCAAAGTGCTTCTTGAGGCATTGCATAGAAACATCTAAAGCAGACGGATGCAGTGGAACAAAGGTGGATTTTGCCTCTCAAAACTGTGCTGCTCTGAGCAATGCCTGGTGTCAAGGTGCTGGTTTTTCCTGTCTTGGATGTTAGGTTTTGTAGGGGAGCTCAGCCCAGATGGGTCTAAAGCACTCCCCACAGAAGCAGCATGTCCAGCATAATCAGTATTAAGGGAGAGCAGAAGCTGAAATACAAACAAGTGTGTAAATTTTAGCAGTACTTAGTTGCATCTGTTTCATCTTGCCCTACAGCAGCACTGCAGACTTACTTATGGATGTTGGCTAGGACTGAGTTGTTGCTTCAGTAATGAAGCCATTTCACTTGACCTTTTAAAAGGAAACCACTAGTTCAAGGATCTCTCTGAAGCATGGTGTGAACGAGTCAGTGTAATAGAACAATAAATCCCTCTCAAATCCCAAGTTTCTTAGCTAGGTGCTGCTGTGTCTCAAGTGTAAGTTGGCATTGTGAGGTTTCCCCCTCCCAAAGGTTGCCCATTTCTCCCCATTTAAAATGGTTGTACAATGCTCACCGGAGTCCAAAGACTCTAAACAAAGTCAGAAGACTGAAAACAAAGCACTAATTGTACAGTCTTGAGGGCTGCTTACAAGTCTGGGTCCAGAAACCCAATGATGAAAAATGGATGATACCATTTGTGTCACGGGGTCCTTGTCAACACCTAGAATTAATTCTCATCTTCTATGGACTACTTTCTCACATTGCTGGAACTCTAAATTAGCAGGTAGAGTAGATCACATGGCTAGTCCAGAGCTTGAGCATTAAAGGAAGGAAAATCACAGGAAGCACTTGACTTCTGAAGATTGCATTGCATTACAGCCATTGTAGCTTCAAAACCATGTCACTGCCACCTCCATCTGTGCTGTAGATCACCTGGTAACACAGCATGCGCTTGTTAGACTTCAGCAATTCCTAATATAAAGTAATTCTAAAATCATGGTTTTGTATTGTACATTGGATAGTGGTATTTTATCCATCAGTGTGTATACAGCAGTTATTTAATCTCCATGCCATTTTACATCCCACTACTGTGGCCTTCATTTAACTTATGAACATTTTGAAGATGTTGTATTTCTGACTTTACACCAAATAAAAACTTCACTTGTCTCAATTAGTTTGGTTTAACATTTGTAAACCCTAAACCTTCTCATTACTATCTGTAGTCAAAAGGTGAAAAAGCAGTAGGGTTAGTAATCATCTTAATGGTTTTGACATAGCTGAACTGTCTGAAAAACTAGATGGAATTGAGATTAAACCTGAGTTAATGAATCTAGCTTTAACAAAGCTTCTGTTAGAAGCTCACTTGCTATTTTCAGCCATCAGTCTTAAATTTCTGTCTACTTTTCTGTTCTTGCTAAAGTAAAAGGATTGGTAGACTGCATCTACTGTTGTAAAAGAGCTAAAACTTGCAGTTCTCCATGTGAGAGACCACTAAGCCAAGTTAGAAATGTTGCTTTTTCCTATACTTTAGTGAGCTGTAACATTAGACAGAAACCAGAATTATTACTTCATCATGCCTTCATGAATGTAAATTCCAAATGAAGTGTAGCTTAAACTGTAACTAAGTAAAAGGGCCTCAGTACTACTTGGCCTTCCCTGCATATAAAGTGTTTAGTCTGGGATCTGGTATCCTCAGTAAGAGCTCTTTGACCAAGCTACAACATAGTCAGAGGGAGTGCAGGCTGTAGAGGTCTTGTTACTTACAGAGTTCCAAAGATGACTGACAGTTTTAATAGCAAGACATGCTGGAACTGAAAATCATTATTTTGTTAATTTTAAAGATCTTTCAGGCAACCATGATAGCAAGATGAAGCATGTTTCCTGAAATACCTGTTCAGATAAAAATGGACAGTGCACAGAAAGTGTGGGTGAAATCTCACTGTTGCATTGTATCAATGAACAGAGTTGCCCTTTTGCCTGGCTCTCTACCTCTAGTGCCTTAAATCCTCAACATCTCTGGTATTTCTCCTCTAATTACCAGCATAAATCTAGATCCAAGTAAGTTGATGTACAGAAGGATGTGTGCTATCTCTAGATTCTAGGTGATCAAAGCTGATGGGGCATCAATCAATGCTTTAGGGGAAACTAAATTCAAAACCCTAAGGGAAGATGAGCATTCCCCATGGGGTGACCAATCCCTGGAGTAACTAAATCACATCAAAGAAACAATAGTAACTAGAGTAAGTATCACACGTCAGAGAAGCAAAACCCTCCAAAACCCCTAAGCAAATGAATAAACCTGACCCCCAGGACATGCAAATGCTCTAACAATTCCAAAGGACTTCTATCAGACTCAGACATAATTCATTTCAAAGGTGAGCTGAAATAATATAATTCATTTAAAAGATGAGCTCCAACAGCTCACAGTAACTATTGTCAGCAGGACACTAAACTGGTAAAAGCTTCTATCTATTGCTGAGGAGTAATCTGGAGTCTTCTTACCTTTTGCATGGAGGCCCTAAATAAAGAGATGGGAACTTGCAAGTAATTTTTAAAAAGACACAAAAGTCCCAAATTAAACAAAAAACAAGAGACATTTCCATGTAAGTCACGCCAAATAGAAGTCAAATATAATTAACTTTTGAACACTTCAAAACAAGCACTTGAGGACATTGGCTTCTTCATTAGGGTTAAGCATTCATTTCTTAGAGACTTCCATGGAATCTGCTGTGAAAATGCTTCTTTTTAAAGCAGACAAGTTTTATGACAGGCACAAGAAAATCTGTTAGATTCTTTATGAATTAATTTATGAATTAATGAATTAATGTATTTCTACTTAGTTTGTAATGTATAACTAGTTTCACTAGCATTTACACATTCTACTACTACTACAGGCAGCTGCCAAAAGGTTTCTGGTGAGTGAAATTTTATTGTTTAATATACAGCTGAACTTCAATGAAACAATGTTTCTTTACAATAAGCAGTTTATTTAAACTATGAGTATACCCAAATTACTCACATCGTAAAAATCTTAATCCATCAAAAATTCTTATCTATATTAATAAATTTCATATTAAGCAAGAATTAATACATATTTTTAGGTGACAATATACACTTAGCAAGTATTCTATAAATAGGTTATACCACTCTGGTTTGGAACATAAGAACTATAAAAGTTTGAAAAAATCATCTGTATATGACCTGCAGATTTGATATCTGCCTTCAAGAGTAAAACAAATCACAATTACCACTTGTATTCTATTTTAAAATATATCTTGAAAATAAATTACTGCAACCAATGCCTAAAGTGAACAGATCGCCTCCCATGTAACAAGATCAACTAAAATAAATAATTTACAATAAAAATTGTTGCTAGCACGAAATCATCATACAAAAACAATTATTGCATTTAGCTCTGCACAGAAAATAATACCTTTTCTCACAGCAATGTGAACTGCTATAGATGCTACATCTGTACTACCATCTTCTTTAAGCTGAAAACTGTAAACAGCTTATTTTGTGCTAGAGCTACAAAAGTATTATAATGCATTTATTTAAAAATATTTAGAGTAAGTTTATCTCCAACTAAATACTAATTTCTAAGAAACTGCAAATCTTAAGAATCTTCACATAAAAATCAGTCAGCTTGTAATTTCCTTTTTATTTTGAATTTTAAATACCAGCTAACTCTTCACAGATAGCATTTCTCCTTAGAAAAAGGGAATTGAGGAAGTTTGGGATTGTTAAAGAGGCCAGAGAATTAAAATAGGAGGTTAAACAGCAATGAGCCCCTCCTTTTCCTATCAAAGCTCAGGAATTTGCCAGGCCCGCTAAAATGGCACACCAAAAGTTACCATCACTGTCTCTAGACCTGCAAACACCAGCTGGAAATAACTCAGTCCTTTCGTACTCTTCTTTTGCGCACTGATTTCAGTGGACGATCTCCCATTCCTTCATCAGCTTCTTTCTCCTGGAGAAAAAATAAATTCAGCATTAACATTTTAAACTTATTTTGATTATTGAAACTGGCATGCTACGTTATTCCTCTTCCTGAATTCCCCAGTCATTTTATCACTAAATGCATCACTTAAGTGATGAGACATTTTTTCCACACTACTAATTGTCCTAGGGTGACGTTATGATGTTTGTATCCCCAATCGTGTGTTCTGTTTATGCTGGATATTATGTTCTGTGCCTTCAAGACTGGCTCTGAAGAGCAAATGTTTTGTTTTGGTTTTTGTTATCAGCCTGCTCCCCCACAGCTGGCAGGACACAGAGACATGGCAGTACATAGTGCGGCTCTTGCTTTTTCCTTTGCTCTTGCTTCTGCTTTGCTCTTGCTGTTTGCTTCTGCTCATTAGTTAGTTTAGCTAAACAGTCCAAATTTTTCCCTGGACTGTTTTTCCTTTCCCTTTCTGGAACCACTGGAACCACTGAAACCTGCTTTGGACTGGGAAACACCACGAGTTTGTGGTTTGTGGCCCGGAGCAGCTATCCCCAGCGCCGGAGGGAGCAACAACAGAGCGACCACTCCCAGGAAAGACTTTCTGAATTTGTCATCCTTTTCAGAGAGGTGAAGGAGTGTTGTCATCCGGTATTGTTCATTTTGTGTGCTGGGGGTGTTTTGCCTGTTAAATAAACAGGTTCTTTCCACTTCTCTCTGAGGAATCCTTCCCGAACCAGCATGGGTGGGTTTGCTTTCTGAGGGGGGCCCTTTTGGAGGTTTTCTCCCATATTTGCCCTAATCCATGGCAATGATTAATAAAGTGGGTAGAAGACTTTTCATTTCTATATTCAGAAAGAAGAGAGCTGTACGTTTAAACTGACATCAGAAATTTGTTTTTGCCCATGTCTTTGCTGGTTTAAAAGCAGTGATTTTTAAATTAATTTACCAATTTCCTTAAAGAGCACTTTTGCTAATTTTATTTTCGCTTCTGAAGTAAAATGCATTTGAAACATTTTAACTGTTGCCTTTGGAGAGCTACAAATAGAGCAAACTGTCCTTAAATCAGGTGTGGTGTTCCCAGTTTAAAAGCAAAGGGCTTACGCTGGCACAGGAAAAGCCTTTCCGATGTGAAATCCATTCTCGTATCATGCATTGCTTCCTCACTTTGCTGCATCACCTAATGGCAGGCACCTCCTTTAGAAGGAACAGCTGACAGAGTGTGGCCTAGCCTGAGTGAGGACATGGGGTACATGATGTGTTCCAGACAACTCACAACAGAACCACCTACACGTTGAAAACACTCAGAGAAAAGCAAGCCATGGCCTCACTGTGACACTGTGTGATGCCACAGACACATTGAGAGCTTGCTATTACTTTCATAAGGAGTCATGTGAATCTTAGTAGGTTCTGTATTGCTAGGTAAATGTACAAGGAAAAGAAAACTTCTTACAGGAATGAGAGAAAGTACAGATTAAGGGGTAATTAACAAAGACTTTTAGTGCTGAAACAACACAACCTCATGCAAGGTACAGTTTCCTAGAAGAGTTTTACATGAAAAGGGTTAACATTACATTAAACAACTCCCTTAACCTGGAAAGTGACTCATTTAGGGAGTGACAAGCACAAGATGATCAATGGGTGGATCTAAAGTGTTTCAGACACTTAGCAGTGTCTAAATGAAGAAATAATGAGTAGCTGACAAACAAGAAAAGCACGAATTCCATTATACAATGATATTTTATGAAAATAATTTAGCAGAATATCTGGCTGACTGGACTAATCTGCACAAGAAAAACGAAACTGCAGATGCTGTGTTCAAAAACAGTATTGTCATTTTGCTTAACACCTTATTTTGGAATAAAAAACCCCAAAACGTAACTGAAAAACTTAAGGCTTTTCTAGGTCTTGAGAAAAGGCTACTCAGTTGGAAGCATGTTCTATCAGTTGAAAAGCACAATGAAAACTGACCAATCTGCTGCAGCATCCAAATTTTCAAGACCTGCAATTCATTTAATAATCTATTAAAAACTATACTCCTGTAAAAATATGTCATGTTTAGAGAGCTGCCCAACCACTTCTATACTATACCTGTATTTATGCAGAGCATTTGACGTGTCTAACTGAAAGGAAAGCATATTTCTACCTCACAAATTGTTTTATGGCTCCACAGAAGAAAAACACTTGTAGGTAACTGAGCTTAGTCAGAAGTATGTCAGACAACGGCAAGGAGAAAGTAGGGAAAAATGCAAACTTACCTCATCTTCTGAATCAGATTTATTTGACCTATCACCTTCTTGACTTCCATCTGGAACTTCATTTTCTTCTTCACCTGGAACTTCATTTTCTTCTTCATCATCATAAATATCTTCACCACCTTCACCTTCAACTTCTGCAGAAGAAGTTAATTTTCCTTTGTAAACAGAACTATATTACAAATACACCATATCCAGACACACCAGTAAATGAAAATAAGCCAATTTCAGTCCTAGAATGAACTGCTTTTTCAGAATAACCCATAAAAACATCTCTATGATAACAGAGTAGAATTCTCATGAATTAGTAGAAAGTGGTAACTGCCAGACTTAATAGCCAATTTTAACACCTCCAACTTTGCCTCTTTTCATAACAGTCTGTCTTCAGACTTGTTACTGACTTAAAGGACTTGATTTACTTTACTTTAAAACTATCTATTGTATTGGACAGTTTTGAGAGCAGAGTCCAAAATAGGACAACTGAAAAAATTCTGAGTTAGACGGGGAAGTAAAATATTGCAGATATCAGTCATCCATCATGGGAGACACCTACCTCCTAAGGGCACATCCCCTTTTCAGCAGGGAATTCTTCTGACATACTGTTTTGTTTGATGGAGAAGCAGCTTTTTATTTCCACCCTTCTTGTGCATTTTTGCAACGCAGAAACTAGTCAAAAAAGCACTGTACTCCCTTAGTTCACTCAAAGCTTGTCCAGCTTGCACTACTACTGCAATACCAGTACCCTTTATAATACTTTCTATCAAGAGTAAACAAATCTTAAATCTCACAGAAAGGATATTCATCAGCATTTTGCAATTTAACAGTCTGCCAGTGGCTTTTTTAAAAACAGCAGTGAAGTAGTGCTCAATTCTGTCCTTGTCAGGTCACACCTACTTCTCATAAGCACTGCTTAGGTGTGAAAAAAATTGGAAAAAACCAAAAACAAATAACAAAAATCTGTACTCACATCAAATTCTTACTGTTGCATTTGAGTTAAACTGAAACAAAAGTATCCATACAAATTAAGAATGTAGTCACATATCAGACCAGACTTTCCTGATTCTTGGTGATGAAAATCTAGAAATACCTAATTTGTTAAAATATTCAAATTGAGGAAGTCAAATCTTTGTACTTAAAAGTTCCAAGAACTCTGGCTGCAATATAGCTATAAATTGAGCCAAACAGAGCTTCACTAGTTGTTATGAACTAAGAAGTTTGTTTTGCCATGCCAGTATACCTGGTTCATGTCCACTATGTCTCTATTTCTATTATCAAAAGGAGAAATATGACCAAATAATGAAGATTAGGTTTAGAAAAGACGCAGACAAAGATCTCAGTCCTAAAAACAAGCCCTTAATAGAAGTACTTGGCAGAAATTCACTAAGCCTTTGGTCATATTCTAATAAAGAGATTGGAAATTATAAATTATGCAAATCCAGCTCCTCCCATAAGTATGAATTTCAATAGAGGGGAAAAAGCCCCAAAGAAAAAATACTGCAGATATCATAAGCTGTAGAACACAGAACTGGAAAACTATACTATTTAAAATTATTATTTTAAGTTGAACCATTTAGTAATTTAAGCATTATTTCATATAAATAAATGTAGAACTTGACAAATAAGGTTCAGACTGTGCCCCTGAAACTCCATTTTGTGGCAACATTCTTTTACTTCCTGCAATATCTTTCTACAGGTCAAGCAGACAAATAGACAATGCCACAAAAATTAACATAGAACAAAATAAAACAGTAAATCCCATGGACAATGCCCTTCAAGAAATACTCTGCCAGCAACTCATTGTCACTGGTATTAAAGAAATCACCAGGTGTTTCTAAAATTTGCTGTTGTGCCACACTTCCTTTTTCTTTATTTTTAAATGGTCCCATGATACAATGTGGATTTCAAGTCACTCAGTATTCCACAGCTCAAAACCCCATTGCCTTCAACTCCAGAAAAAACAGAGGAGGTAATGATTACGAAGGAACCGTAAAAATCATAAGGAGACAACGATACTAGTAGAAAATATTTATGACTATGGATACCATAGAGAGAAATCTCAGAGGAAACTTGCATCTGCACCTGATGGAAGCTGGCATCCACCAGCTGGAAGTTCTACCATCAACAAGGAAGAAGAGGGAAGGAAACAGATAGGAGACATGACTTGCAAGTCCTGGCCCATTGCTTCCCTTTCCCAGTACCTGAAAGAGGAGCCTCCCTTCCCATCTTCTTTGTATTATCCTTTTTAAGTTCTTTTTTTGTCTCCAACATTTCTCTTCTCTCTGTAGCAAAAAGAATCAGGAAAAGGAGGCAGAAGACAAATTCTCTAATGCTTTCCAACATAGAGGCAAAAGAGCAATAAATTAACTGAATATTGGAACTGAGGAATGTCAGCCTTGCAACAGCAGCATATTAGGTACAACTACGATTTGCATCAAGACTGGGTCGAATAAAACAGAGTCTGTAATTCAGGAGCAAAGAACAGGTCGAGTGGAGTAAGATCAAAAGGAAAATGTAGGACGACACAACACTGAAATCATGTACCTACAATTTAAACTAAAGTAAAGAATGTATATAGCATAACCAGAATAATTAAATACCTTGGTAAGGCTCTCCAATAGCAAGGCAAATGGACTAAGTTTGGTGTGGCAAGCACTGTGCAAAATATGTACTCAATTCTGTCAGTAATGGCATGGGAACTGCTGATGATGAGTGAGCTTTTAAGTAGTGCAGACAGAAGCCATCTACACTCATGGAACATGGTGCAAAGTCAGACAAAACCCACCATGTTTCAGTCAGTAATACAAAGTGATGTCAGTACCAAGACAAAAACCCCAAAACATGAATGTCTGCTATGTCTGTAATTAGCCACACCAGTCCCCTGTTACTTGTTTTTGTTCTCACAAGGAAGAGTGAAATAAGAGGCAGAATCTTGCAGAGTTCTGAAGCTAAAAATTTTCTCATCAAAGTCACAATAATGCATTGGAAGTCAGGTGCTTTGGTTTTTATTCATTATGTAGACACAAGGAAATGCTAACAGCACCTCAAAGCTATAGCTGAGTAGTAGCCAGTAATCTTTGATACAGTAACATGGGATGATTTTATCCTTGGATTCTGGATATGGAGTCCAAATTAATTTCTCCCCTGGGCAGTAGGACATACCTCTGCAGGCATGCAATATGTTGCTAAAAAGCAACATAAAGGAAGCTGCAGACGTTAGTAGTTCAAGCCTACTGTATTTTCAAGTTTCAACAAGAGTAACTCAAATCAGTGACCAACAGAGTAGTATAATCCTCCCAGAGAGGTGTAAGCAGATTTATGTTAGAGACTTAAAGCTATTCCAGACACATTTTAAAGAATAAAGTGACTTTAACTGCTTCAGGTACTTATATGTGAATAATTAAAATGCGTTTAATATATGGAATATTTAGAAGGGACAACATATGTATCACTGTCTACAAACATTAAAAAATAGTGTTGGAAGCATGTTCATTTCTTGAAAGTGAAGAAATGCTGAGTAGAGCCTTACTTTCTGCTTATATTTCTCAGACCTATTAGCCACGGGATGCCACTCACTGGAAGTTACCAAAGACAAAAAAAGGCTCAGAGCAAGGCACATTTCACATAGTCTAAGAAAACAGGTTGTAATTACTGGCAATGTAATCCATGAACTAGTTATATTCATGTCTTTAACCAACACACTCTTACTCATCTTACCATCTTCATCAGTATCTTCATTTTCTTTTTCCTCTTCCAGTTCATCATCCTCAAACTCCTCTATCTCTTCTTTTAGTTCTCCCTTTGTAATTTGCTTAGATACATCAGGCTTTTTGAAGTCAATATATTCATCTGATTTCTACAACAAATTAAAAATCTATTTATATTTCAACTCCAATTAAGAATTAAACAGGCACTGTAAGCTAAGTAATACCAATGGCATATTAAAAGGGCACATTGTTGCACTGATGCTCGAGAGTTTCCAAAAAAAGTATTAAGAATAAAACCAAATAAAAATATAGTAAATTTCACTAACCTTTCCTGGCCAGCAGAACAACACACTTAGACCAACAGGGAGAGCTAAAGTTAAGATGTAAAGAACCCAGAGCCATGGGTGTTCTTCTGCAGCAGTCACCAACTGACTAAACATACCAGGCTGTATTTAAAAAAAAAAATAAATTAAAAGAATTGCATTTATATCCCTCTCTACACTTAAATAAGTTTATGAAGCATACTGTATACATTTATATTGTCCAAACCCCTTCTTTACCGTTGCTTTTTAATGACTAAAGCAATATTGCATTTCAATACCAGTAAAGTAACAACTCTACAAACTGCAAATAAGTGGCAGGTGTTGAGTAAGGAGGAACAGATGTAGAACTCCAAACACACCAGACCAGCCACAACTCAACTTTGTAAAGTAGTATTTGGAGTCTTGGCAACCTCACACTTTACACCCTTCCCAGCTACCATTTTTCCTGCACACTGTACTATCTCAGCTGAAAGCTTCGAAAGCATCAAGAGGCTGAGGAGCAATGCTGGCTCCACCTGTATTACCACCTTCTCTCCTTCGACAGCCAATTATTCACGGAGTAAATTGTCCTCCCAGTACAGCTCTGACTTACAGAGTAGAGACACTTAGGCAAGTGCCTGGTGCATCTCTGTAAGAGGGACATCAGGAACTAAAGGAAGTTTGAGAGGCACAGTGGAACAAGGGGACTCAAAGCAATTTTTGTGTCATTGGGCGTACAGGTATGGATACAGGTTCAGAAATAAACCCAGACGTATTGGAAAAGGGCAAGGTTGTGTGAAGAGATAGTCTTCCTGCTTGCATGGACAGATATGCTGCTGCTACTTGCTGACTCTGTGACAACAGCTGCTGTAAGGAATTGGCCACATTTGCCACCAAGCCATCGTGTCTCCCCCAGAAGAGTAGCCTGCTGTTGCCATTTAATCAAAGGGAACAGAAACAGGAGTGAAGGTGGAGCCCATGATCCCCTATGGCAAGGCAGATCCATCCCACAGCACAGGGAAGGAGGGAGGAAGGCTGTCAAAGTGCAGTACACAAACAAAATGTGGATGCACACCTAAACAGCCAAAGGCCTAAAATTATTAAACAGAAACAAACACTAGACTATTCATTCCTCATGGGAGGGAAGCATCAAAAGAATATATATCATGGATATAACCATAAGGGAAAATAGGGGGCGAGGGGCAGGAGGGGAAGTCTTTGAATATAATTCAGCCTTCATGCTTTCACTTGCTGTCAGGTACTGAATATCCAATATTACTGTGAACAGCAGAAGGCTTCACAGGAAGTCAATTTCTTACTAAGCTTTGAAGTAAAATGCAGTACCCTTTTAATGTCAAGAAAATATTCAGCTGGGAAAGGTGAAAAGCCGAACTACAAGACAGAAAACCTATCAGAGTTACTCAGCAAAATTATTAATTGCAGACAAATTAATACTCTGCCAGGTTGGATAGAAAATTCTTCCAACAGCACAGCTTATTTACTACTTTCTACTATCAAGAACATAGTACAGTTTATACCTCATTAGCACTTGCTACTAATTTCTTCAAGCCCCAGCTATCTGCTGCCCAGCGATCTGCTACTTCTTTTTCTGAACATATGATGAAGTTATCAAAGTAGATATCAGATGTCATAGACCACAGTTCTAAACCAATAGCACTGACAGCAGTCATCTTGAATGGGTGAAGATCTTCAAAATAGTCTGGGTTTGGTATTTTCCGAGGGCTCCAGATTCCCTGTTAATGGAAACAAATGTAATCACATTACCTATAGCTCACCAAAAGAACTATTTCTGAAAGAGATCTCAAAATAATAAGAACTTTTATTTTAGAAGACAAGCTGTAAGAGTGTAACCTATCTAAAACAGAACTGGAAATAGCCTGTAGGATTTTGGCAGATGAGTCTCAATTTTATGGTTTAGGGCAGACCTCCTAAGTAATTATTTTCCTTTTTACTGTAGAGGTTACAGTGATAACTGACTCTTACCAAAAGTGTTAGAGAAAATTTTAGGGAAGGAAAATTTAGCCTTATGATACCTGCGCAAATTAGAGCCCAATTTTGTTTACAAACCAGCTTAGGATCTTACCCTCCAAGACATCAGACTGAAGCACTCCCATAAATAATACAAAGTAACTCTCTTTAATATCCAGCTGATTACCTCTTATATTTGGAGGGGAATTAAATTCCCCAAAATTGATGCTTCCTGTAAAATTGAACTAGTCAGGCATTCTCCTTACTGAAAGGCTTCTTTTGTTAATATTAAAAAAAGACTAATTCAAAAGACTCATATTTAAAATCCTAATGTAATTCAGAATACAATCCTGAAGACCATACTAAATAAATGGTACCAATGAAAATTGTACAAAAGGCAACTTTAAACAAGTAAGCTGTTTTAATACCAGAAGCATTATTGTTTCCCAGTATACTTCAAGGGAAAAAAAGGTAAATTAAAAGCAAAAAGATCTTCAATTAGGGAGGGTATTCAGACTCATTCTAAAATATAAGTATACTGCAAAAAAGCCTAAGTAAATATCCTAATTTGACTTGCTTGCTCTGTATCTTTTAGCCATGACCAACAATTTGGCTATTACCTGATAATTAGGATTATCTATCATAGGTGCTCTCCATTTTCCTTTATACTTTGGATTATTCTTCATGGGACGCACCCACTCTCCACAACCTGGTGCAGCCTCACATTTTGCATTACGGATCTGAGGGGCTTCCCACTCCCCATCCATTTCTTCATCCCTAGGGAGAAAAAAAAAATACAAACAACTGCTTCAAGATCAGCAAAATGTCAAACACTGGCAGTCTGAAGTTAGGGTGTATTGTTGTAACAACCTCAGAACCCTGACCAGCTCACAGAACTTTACCAACAGTATAAACACTTCTTTGAAGGAGTGCTACACCTTTTTACTTAAAGGTCACATGTTCGTAACTACCACAGTATGACTGACTTCAATTACATTCCTGCCTCTGCAGACAGCTTGAAAGACTTCTACCCAGGATGCTTAGAGATCCCTTTTAGACTTACATTATGATTTCAAGTTATCAACTTAAACTGTAGCAAATTATTTCAAAGGGGACCTTCATATTCTGTTTTTACTTATGTATCTTCAGAAAACAAAAGGCAAGGACAAGTTCACGTTTTTATAAAAGCAGTTCCCCACACCAACAAATATTTGGCCATACCTTACACATTCCAACTTACTACCTCAAAAGACAATGAGATATGGACTGACTTCCCCAACTAGTAATCTGCCACACGGAACAGTCTTATCTGCAAAACACATTACCAATCTGCACTTACCAGTCCTTTGGCTTTTTTGCATTAGGGTCTGGAACATACTGTGGTTCACCATCAAGCCACCCCTCAGGCTTAACAGCATCAGGATCTTCTATTTTGGCAGGTTCGTCTTCATCCCTTTAATTACAGACTTATATTAGAAAATACAGTAGCCTGACTTTGGACCAATGTTTGGACCAATGTTCATTTCAGACGACTACAACTGGCATGAAAGAGATGATTTTCAAAACCACAACAGAATAAGACTCACTGATCATGAGCATGACACATATAATTATCTGCTTATAAATAACTGGATTATATTTACATTGTTTTATAGTGCTATTTAGTCCACAAATTGCTGGTATCAAATGGCAGGTGTCAGTCAGGTGTTCCCACTGAGGTTTCCATACTCTTCCTGAGTTGCCATAAGAACAGTAGTTGACACAGAAGTAGAAATTCATTGTGCATTAGGACTATATGGTAGAAAAAACTTATTCATGCGTAGCAACCTTAGTTACTACTTGCAACCATGCAAGGCACAAAATCAGCAAGTAACAATTTTATTTGTCTCCTTATGCCCACCTCAGATATATTGTCAAACTTCAGTGCTTTTAGTGAAACGTATTTCAATTGTCATTAGTAAACCCCAAAATAAAACCAGTCAAATCTTTCAAGTAAAGAACATGTATGTAAAACACATGGTAAAAATGAAAATGTTCTCCTTACCAGTCATCTGGTTTGACAGCATTTGGATCAGGTATTTTTGGTCTCTCATCCCAATCATCAGGCTTCTTATCAGTAGGATCCTCTATTTCTTTGGAAGGATTTACTGGAGGAATCATATTCTCAAGAAGACTTCCTTTACTAACAACTGTTTGGTCGATTAATATTTCAAACGTGTCATCTGGTTTCAGCACTAAATTGAAGAAATTTATATTGAAGAACTAAGGGAGCCATTCAATTTTACAGATATATTTAACCAAAACTATAGAATAAGCACAGACTTAATCAAATAACAGCAAACAGGATCCTCACTAGCAGAGGAGACAAACTCCTCACTCAGGCACTGGATCTGGACACAAAACATTGCTCTTGAGGGAATGTATGACCAGCATCAGATCCCCAAAGATTAAACTTGAAGAAAATTCAATTGCTGAAACACATCCCAAGAAATCTTTCAAAAACCTACCAACACGGCCAAAATTCTTTATGTTTTTACTTCAAAATGTTTTTCATGTAATTCAATGTTTTTACTTCAAAAGCACAGACAGTGCAAAAAGAATCTCTATCCCAAAAGGCATCTCTGCTACTAAATTACAATCTCACACTTGAAAGCACGGGAACACAAGAACTGTACCAGTAACATAGCAGAAGGATCAAAGCAGCATTTTCTATCAGGTTCTAACCTCTAACAGCCACACTGCAAATGCTTAAACATTTGAAGAGAATTTCCTGGATCTTAGCAAGTGTGAGTAACTGAGAAGCCAAGGTCACAGAACTGAACCGTGTTAGACTCAGTATCCAGATGCATCCAGATCTATTTCTAATTAGCACTTATAAATGTGCTCACTGGTTAAATAGCAGGTTCAACTGTCCATTTAACATAATGAAGATTACTAAGTAAAAGTAATTACTATTACACTTTTATGCCAGTTTTCTAAAAACAGGTTAAAAAAACCACAGTAACAGTCTTGTAATAGTTTGATAATATCTAATGATGGCTTTCCAGCCTGAAATTTTCAACAGCATTAAAATATCCATAAATGCAAAAATGAAACCCCCATTTCACCTTTAGATAAAACACAACTAATTTTTAAACTCCTGTTACCAGTCACATAAATACATTGGAATCACATAGCTCTATGGAGTCTGTTTGAATAACTGTAACAGAATAAATGCAATTCAAGTTTAAGTACCTTGATTAATAATTTCTAACAAACAATCCAAATACAGAAATGCATGCATTCCTTTATGATGAGATTCCTAAAATTATTAGGAATTAGGACTTATTATCTAAAAGTGTAAGTTTGCTGTGGCATACTACAGCAATCTATTTTAGAAAGCACTAAATTTTCCCATGGCACAGCACTTGAACATGCCTTCTGTTATCACTATTCAGTGAAGTTCATAAGTACAGTCAATTTGGCTGGATTTGCAGCATGCCACAGATTAGCCCATTCTCTGACTGCTATTCTTTCTCAGAAGTTAGAAAAAGGGGATAAAAATTAACTTTTATTTCTCTGTACAGTTCACTGGTACAAGAAGAGTTGTCATATGAATTAAAATCAGCCCATACTCATTCACTTCAGAGTCTGTGCTGACCTGCTTCAGATGCAGGTGTTGGTGAGAACTCTTAACATGTGGAAAAGAGTGGTGTGTGGCATGTGACAGATTTAACTGAATTTGTATGAACCCTGACACCTTCCCAGAATATTGGGCAGTTGTACATTTTAACATCTTTCCCAGTAAAAATAGTTTCATTATAATACTTACTGAAGGCATTTTTTATAAGGGCTAGTCAGGGCTGATAAGTTTTTTCTGTAACTGAATATTAAGCTGTAGCATCTGAAAGCTACTTTATGTCCTGCAGTTAAGCCCTGTCATTAAGCCATTTAACTCAAATCGTTAAGCAACCACCACTCAGAATTAACAAGCCATTACAAACAAAGACTCAATTACAAAGCTTCTGCAGAAAAAAACCACATTTTTCATCTCTCCTTTCCAATATAAGACCTGGAATTCCATTTTTAAGAATTTAACAATACCAAGAGTATACAGATGTGTCTTCTTGTCCAAATAGAATTTTTTTAGGTCTACATCAGGACGTTCAGCATGTTTTTCATCATATTCTCCAGTTTTAGGATTCTTATGTCTGAAGATAAAGTGTAGTTTGTAATCTTCTCCACATTTATCTGGTCCAAACATAATAGTGTAAGGTGTTTTGTCAAAAAAGTATTCCTGTAGAAGCAAGAAAGCTGAGCATGTGTTATACTGGACATTTTATTATGTCACTTTTGGTATTCCTTTTTCTTGGCATAAAGCATAGTTACCTATTTCTAAAAGGTAAATGAAAAGTGGTAGGGTAAATTATTAAAGGAATTCAACAGTCCTCTGGAGTAGCTGGGTGCTCTCTGTTTTCAGGGAATGGACTTACTCTCAGTCTCTTTGAGAAAGATGAATACCTTTATATATTTAGACTTTATCCTTATGTTAAGTAAGAATGCCTGTTACAAACCAAAGCACCCAAGTATTTCTCTCCCTCTAAAAACATTACACTAAAAGGTGGAAGGGAACTGGTTACTGCTCTTCATAACAATTTTATTTTCCAATAAAGATAAACCCCAGGATATTAATATCCAGTATTTTATAAGTATCTTTTTCTCTCCGCCTTAAGTAACAGCAACAAACAACCCTGAAAATATCAGATAGAGTTATTCTCCTTCAGAGTATGCTGCATTACACAGTTATGTCAGTATCTTTTAACTATTTAATGTTTTCTGTATTTGGAATACACAGTAATATGCATGTGCTGATCAGTAAAATTGTTTAACAAGTTATGAGTTAAGATGCTATGCTTTCTATTAAAACAGAAAGTCATACTAAATGTACACAAAAGTCATCTATCCTGGATATAAACACCACCCATGGAGAACCAAGCTGTTCCTCAAATGAACAACTGATAGCAAATATTAAGCAAAAGGACATACCAGATTCAAGTCATTGCTACTGGAGAGAAGTTTAATATATGCACCACCACAGTCAATGCCTTTTTGAAAATTCACTTCGTATCTGGACAAAGAGAAAGTGACAAAAACGTTCTATCAGAAAAGTATCAGAAAAATATGAATAAACTGGTAATCTGCACTTCTAATTATGAATATATTAAGACTGCATATTAGTACCTACTGTCAAAACACTTCTATGTAAGCAAAATGTTTTAACTTACTAATAAACATCAAGTAAAAAATCTGAAGGATTACTTACTGAACAATCAAAGGTTTATCATCAAAAACAAATGCTTTTGCTAGCATTGCTGATATTGCATGATACTTTGCCACTGATTTTAACACTAATCCTCTGTCTCCAGGCATTGCGTTTTCCTTCAGCTCTTCTACTTCCCATCTTCCTAAAACACACACACACAGTCTTTGAAAAAATGCAGTCTGAATAAAGAAATCACAGCCTTGTTGAAAGCAAAGAGTTGGCAACAAATAAAGCCTAGCTGCCAAAGTAAGGCAGAAAGTTGGCATCTGATGTCAATGATGTTATTTCTTGTTCTCAAATTTAAAAAAATCTATCAGTAAACTTTATTACTGTAGACCTGTAGCTTTAGGTTGTGGTATCCTACAATGGCTAGAGGAACAAAATATTTCTCCAGATTTTACATTTACTTCTACCATCAGTTACATAAAAAACATTAGTCACAAAGCACTGTGTAAAGCTAAAGACCTGCATAATTACTTTTTTTCTGCTTACATAAAATTAAAATCTCTTGATTCAAATCTAATCACAGGGTAGATCAAGTTCCCTCCTCCTCCCCAAAGTCTTTCCAAGAATTATCAGATTTGGTACAAAACAAGCCTAGAGCTTTGAAAACAGAAGATTCTATATTTATACATTCTCCAAGTTTGGGATAAATACAAACGTGCCCAATATCCAAAGAACAAGATCTCTTCTAAAAGGGCAGTTACATTTTCTCAGAGACTAACAGGACAAGATTCACTGGGGTTTATTTTTCCAGGAAAGAACAACACAAAACACCCTACTTTTACAATCCGCTGTAATTCTGAAGAATGCCTGTGTCAATGTAAAAAAGAAGAAAACAGCAGGAATTCCTCAGCATGTAATTTAGAGAAGATTCCTAAATTGTGATGTGCAAATGAAACAGTGATTTACTTTTATTCATCTGAAGTGTGTATTAGTAGAAGTTGTTAAGGAAGGGCAGATATGCAAGTCAATAACAAATTCCTACTTTCTTCTAGCCTCATAGACAGGAAGGAGGAGAATTCTATCCTCTTCAATAGGAAGAAACTAAGGCCAAACAATAATGCAAGGCAAAACAATAAGACTGGAAAAAAGAATCAGAAAGTAGTTCAAAAATGTATCTTTACCACAGACTTTATTAAATGTTGAATTTTCTGACCTCAAGTAAATAAGACTGTTATGACATTAAAGACAATTTTTTATTTAATATGAAGCCAAGCAATCAGAGAGACCTCATTTCTCATAAGCATCTCACCTGTGCAGGTATCTCCTCAGCAACTTCTTAATTTTACCAATTATTTTTGGTAACCACTAAATTTAGAATCATCAGTTCTACTCTGTTCTGCAAGTTATGCTTGCTTACCACTTTCTATTAATATAATAGATTTCAACTGACATAAGAACAGTAGCAAATACTTCTCTGTTGCAGTAGAAACTTGTTCTCTTCTCCCCACTCCTCTTGAGTGAAATAAAACTCAGGTTGCAAAATTATTGGTGCAGATCACACATCTGCCAAAATTTTAAGCAGCCAATTCTTGGCTAGGAAATCACAAGTGCAAACTGCAATGATTAGACCATCAGTACAAGTTTCATTATTACTTTCCAAATTTGTTTTTGGCTACTCTAAGACTAAACTGTACAAGAACCACTGAAGAGCCCTACATTCAAGCACAAGCAATCTGAAAAAGTATTAAAAAAATGCAGTTTTAACTTTCTTGTTTCAGAGGATATACCAAGAGACCAAGCCATGAATCGGCAGAAGGTCAGATGGAGCAAAATGGAACACAATGCTTTAGAAAACTGTTTAACAACTGAAATTGAAGTAGTAAATCTCTCTCTGAAATCACAGGATTTCAGAGAAGACAGTTCTAAAGAAACAATACTCATAAACAAACAGTATTAAATATTCAGTTTCCAAAGGGTATTCTGGTATCATCCATGGCAATACATTGTTGGAATGACAAAAAAAGTAATCTTCACACTAAATAACCCAATGAGCAACATTTCACATTTTAGTTTCAGGATAACAGTCATTATACAAACTAATATTTTTGACCTATGCCATCTAGATATTCAAAGACAAGTTCTGTGTTATTTCTCAAGGAAATGGTAGTTATTTCTCAAAAAGCAACAGAACATCACAAACTAAACAGTGGAGGTAAACATTAAAGCTACTTACCATCATATTTAGCAATGTTATCATCCATGTCGTCTTTCAGAGTTACAGACAACACCCACCTAAAAAAAAAATTGTACTGGTCATTGATTTATCTAGGCAAACCTGTATTATTTAACAAACAAAGGAAAAAAAAAGCTTTTGCTTCTAGGCTGTGAACCTGTAATACTCGATTTATCTAGGCAAACCTGTATTATTTAACAAACAAAGGAAAAAAAGATTTTGCTTCTAGGCTGTGAACCTGTAACACTGATTTTGAGTCAGCATCATGGAATTGCATGTAGCTCTAAGAACATGCAAAGAAAAATTAAAGGAGAGTAATCTAATACAGCATTTCCTAAAAATGTAAATGAATAGACAATTAAAAGTCTAAAGTAATTAAATTTCTGAATTATTTAATTCTGAATAAACTTCAGTTTTATATACAAATTCAGTTTGGCACTTAATTTTATGCATTTAATATAAAAAATGCACAGAAAATAGCAAGTTTCAAGTATAATACCTTCAATAGAGGAAATAATACCTTTCAATAAAAAAGAAAAAGAAATCAGCCAAAAGAGTCTTAACTTTATCTGACAGTAAGAGTACATATGCATAGCAAAGGACAAAAGGGAATGTAAGTGACAAATGCAAGATTCCAACTGTACTGCACACAGGAGATCCAACAGGGCAAACACACTCCTGATCTCCTCGATTCTATGAGGAACGCAAACTTGGCTATCTCATTAAGGGTATCACAAGATATGCACAGTCTCCACACAAAGTGTTCCTCTGGAAAGGAAAAACAAGGGCAGTCCACCCTCATCTGGACATACAGCAGCTCTATCTGGAGCCATGCACAGGAATGTCTTAAACCAACAGCGCTGCTGAACTCTTTATTGTGTCAACCACAAGAATACGTTCTAATGATTTATTCTGGAAAGAACTGTTTTCATTCAGTCTGAACTATCCTCTGCATGGAGTGATTCAGGGATGAATACCTTCTCTTTTCTGCTTGAACTGCAGTCACATTTGTTCACTGTTAACAGAGATGCTGGAAAAGTTTCACAGTATAAATAGCAACCTAGATCCTCGGCCTACCAGGAGAGAGACCAGTGAGGACACAAAACATCTCTACAAGTCATGTGAAAAATTTTCAAGGCCCATTCTCAAAAAAGCTACTCTATTCTTACCTATCAATTTATACCTACTCTTTTCCACACTTCAGGGAAGAAAGTAAGCAGCATGCTGCCTCTCTCATAAAACTTTCTTCCATACTCCTTAGCCTTATGTAAATTATGCAAAGATGGACCAAAAAATACCAAGCATTGTAGCTAAAACTCTGAACATTAGATTTAATACGAAGACAAACTAATCTTCGAACAGTTCTCAAAAAAGCTAGAAGCTTGGATGAATTACCTCATTCAAGTACCCCAGTTAAATCTTTGCATGTGTTAATCAAGGTTTTCAGTGGTTTGTTTGTTTTTTTTAACAACCATTATCATCTCTTCTATCTAATATTTTTTTCTGTCATCACAGGTGTTGCTTTTGCACTTAACATTTAGAAGTGACACACACCTAAGATCACATGAAAAGAAAGAGTTTGCTACTGAAATGTAATGGCACTTCACCTCTCAGCTAGTGAAACCCAACTGGCTAAATCTTTGTATTGTTTTTCTTAATGTCCACAAATCCAGAGTTTATTAAAAGCTTCCTTAAAACACATGCAGAAAAGTAATATATCTGAAATGTCAAGTGTCCAACTTAACATTATGATGTATTTGGAGCAAGCATTAATAGTCTTCCAAATTCTAATCCCCATAAAAATTATTTTTATAAAGATAGTAGCAGAAAAATGAATACAAAATAAGTCCTGCCACTGTAAGTTAAACTGCTGAAAGTAAAAATTTATTTTTAAGATGTAAGCTTACCCTGATAATCCTTCATCAAAGGTTTCTGTAAAATACACTTCCCCAGTTGGCTTTGGAGTCTGGTACACAACCTAAGAAATATGTACAGATAACATATCATAATAAACATAAATTACAATTGAAATACACTCTCCTATTTCCAGAAGTAATCCACCCAGGCAGACCAACAGATATTGTTCATTAGAAATACCTAGCAGCATAAAACCACTTCTCCTCCACCCACATTTCAACAGTTTGTGTGCATCCCTCCAACAGTGAGCAGTTTCATATCTCTGAATTTTAAAAGTTGCTTCCTCTATTCAAAGCTCATAACTAAAGCTTTGTTACATCTTCTGTGAAACAAAACCCCAAAAATTTTTATGAACCTGCACCAAATCTGCTTCCTCCCTGTTTCTTTCTTTATATGTTTTCCATTCTTCTGTTTTCCCATCTATTGCCTGCATCTATTTTGAAGAATAGCATACAGATTTTCTGGTAATAAAGACAGTGTCAAGAGGCAGCTGTGACTGATGAAATCAAGAAGCTGGTCGAAAGTCAAAGCCTCAGTGAGACCAAGGTGCTTTCTATTTACTTCTTTAGAAGCGGCATGTTAGGATTTGCAACAAAAGGTTTTGTATCTAGATTGAAGAAAAACCTTTTTCATGACTATTGACCAGAGGCAGGAGATTTTACATTTGGGCATAAGAGATTCATTCATTAAGTTTGCCCTGTATGTCACATATAGCAAGCAAAAAACTCAGACTGCCATACTTGAGACCCACTCAGCTGTCAAATGCAGATTAACTTGCTCTAGTTATAACTATGTGTCTTGTATTTAACCAGCTTGAACTAAAGACTTCTGTAATCTTACCTCTAGAGAAGATTTATCTCTGTCAACATCAGCTTCTTGGGACTTCTTGTCAAAATTCTCCAGTTCAACATCTGCATCCAGATTTTCTTCGTTTTCCATTCCTGAAGTCACTGAGCTAATTATCAGGACACCCAACCACAGCCAGTCCCACTGGAAGTGCATCTTAGTTATCTAAGAAGAATTGAAAGTTTAGAATTTAAATATAATTTCAACGATATTAACAATATTATTTCAATTTTACCCCAGACTTTATCTAAAAGAGGAAAAAATCCTATTAAAATAATGAGAAATAACTATCAAAAAGTGTTGTCACTATAATATTACCTTAATTTGCTTTTTTAAATTTTTTTTTTTTTTCTCAGACTCTCTTTTCCCTCCTGTTTTCCCTATGGAAGTGCCTGTAGCATGTTGTTCCTTTACCTTGCCAAATCTAGCAAGAATCTGACTGCAATATGTATGCTTTTTAAGAACTAAGCAAGACTGCTTTTATTTTCTCATTCGTAAACAATCTGAACAAGTAATTAAATTGAATCAGTCTTTACAATGCAGCAATAAGTAACATCCCTTTCATTAGGAAAAATTACATTATAGATTTAGAATGTATTATTATCCACTGCCAGAACTGCATTTGTATTTGCCCCTACTACCAATGACTACGTTTAGATAAGTGCAGAGTGTATACTGCCTCCAGCTCTAAGTGCCAAAAGAAAGTGTAAAATAGTTTCAGAAGAGATTTTCTGATTAAAATTATTATCCAGTAATTTTCAAGCTTAAGTTAGATAGAGCAAGAGTTTAAATGCACATACCTTTCTTATTTTAGGGAAACCTGAAAATCTTTAATCTGTGTAAGTATGAATATGTCAATAGCAGAAAATTGCCCCAGCCCTCAATCTAATCTGCTGTGAAATGATTATTGCCCAGTATTTTTTGCTTCACATCTGGAAGACATACAAATCCAATTTTATGTTAGAGCATCCAGTGGTTTGAGGAAGCGCAGTATCGAAAATGCCTATGCAAGCTTCCTCAAAGGTCTTGCAAAAAATGTGGTTTTTTAAATTATTTTGTCTGAATTTGTAAACAGAATGAAGACAGATTCTAGACACCTCTGCACAGGTATTTATAACTTGTTTCTTACTAATTTATATTCACAGTAAGCTTAAGTAAATGCTGGTATTTATTTTTCTATTTTAAGACATTTTCAAGCCTTGCATTACTTGTAGCCAGTACCAGTTAAAAGCTCTGGTCCTGAGATACCTTTTGCACCTGAGAGAGAGTAGCCATGCTCTCAGTTACATCATCACTCCTTAGAGATTAAATTGTTTACCACTACAACTCTAAATATCCCAGCAATTATAGATACTATCTTATATTGAAAGCATGAGTCTCTTTCTTTCTTCCTTCCTGGCTTTATCAAATTTGGTAAGCAATTCAAACATTGTAACTGCACCAATTATTTCTGTAATTATTTCATCATTCATTTTTTAACACCTGCAAGTTTTATCAAGCAACAAAAATATAGATGAAACTGTATCAGGGCTTTATTTCTTTTAAGATCTGTTAATTTAATATAAACTGCACTGATTATATTTAGAGCCAAAATATAAATAAAACACAGGATTATCATAAAGAAGTGTTTCACACACTATTATTTTGTCAATACTAGGAAATAATCAAAAACCTCTTTTTTTGGGACTAATACCTATTTTCCACAAAACTACATTAATCATATTACAAATCTTTTTTTCTCCCCCACTCCTATCCACAATTCCTGCCATTCTTTGCGGGACCTTACAACCTTGCTCTAAGATGGTGAGTCTGGTTCCTTCTTTTCTTCAGGTAATACATTTCAGTAGTTATCTACAAATTTTACTAGTGTTTTGTATTAAGACTTTTTTTTTAATTTAAAACTAGAAATACTGTTAATTCTTTGACCTCCTTAGCAGTTCTAGAACTTAAAATAATCTTGCCCTGAAGATTTAAAGTGACTGAGTTTATCACAGGTGATTATTTAATCTTACGGTGTATGTTTGAACACCTTTGTCTGAGCACTGTCAGTTTTACCAATCCCATTTTCTTGTTCCTTAACCATCACATTAGGACAAGTTCTCAAAGAATTCCACATCAATACCTTTGGGACTCCTTAGCTCCTAGCTGAAGTGTCAAATATTAACCAAGTATCAGACTTGCATTTTTAGCATATAGCTTGCCTACCTTACCTTTGCTAGTTTGTCATGCACATGGTCTCTGCTTCCCGTAAAGCAGAATGAGAGGTACAACTTTCTCCTCCAGTACATTTCAGGTGTTTGTGTATGATCCAAAATGCTTTTCACTTACATAGCCAAAATTTTACTGTAATTAGCCCCATTCACTTTTCACTTCTGTTCCATATACAGACTAACACAGGCATCCAAGACACACTAGTACTCACCTTTCCAAACAGCTCCCTTACAAAATTTCTGATGCTTTCACTTTGTTCCCACTGAATCTTACCACTACTCCCTCAGGACTGCCCTAGTTGTGAACAGCAGGTGAGGAGAGACCTCCTGGCGTCCCTTCCCACCTGAATGATTTGATTTGGGTTGCATGGTGCAAATGCGTCCACCTCTGTACCGTGGTCTTTTGTGTACTGTGTACATGCCGTTAAGTTAGCAGCATCATTATTCCATCTGCTGCAGAACTAAGTAAGAGGCCAGGATCTTTTAGATTACTAACTTTTTTCTGGACTTTGAAAACGGTTATGCCTTTTCCATGTAACTCTCAGAGTTCTGGATTCTCAAGCAGAAAGGGAATGAGACAGGCATTCTCATTCTGAAATCCAAAGCTTCTGCATCCAGTATCAACACATGGGCTTTTCATAGGGCCAAATATCAATTACATCCAGGGCCATGAAAAGTGGAGGATTTTTTCACACACCCCTTCTTCCAACCATAACCATGAGCTGCTTTATTCCTCCCCCTTTCTGCTACATTGGCATCAACCTGACATAAGACAACATTCAGCTGTAACTGCTTCATGAAATGCATGCAGGAATTCCTACACAACTTGGATTTTTTCCTTCATTGGGTGTGAAAACTGTACCTCCCTTCCTTTACCTGAGATGTTAAGCACCCTGCGCTGGAATGGATGCCGAATGTGAAGTTCAGCAGGTACTCCAGCCGCAATGCTGCACTCCCGCAGGTGCCTCCAGATATTTTGCTGCTACAGCGAGCTCGACTAAAACCTTCAACAGGACCTTATTTCCCGATTTTAAAAGCCAGACCTCTGGGTCAAACGGCCGTCCGGTGTTCTGTCAGCACCCAACACAAACCTGCTTTTTGGGATACCTCGAGGGGAGAAGGAAGGCCGCCACGCCGCTCTTCTCCTGCCCGCCTCGGGTGCTGAGCGCCCGAGCCCTCCCCTGCGGCACCTTCACGCAGCTCCCCACGGCACCCTCGAGACCCGCCGCAAGACAAGGGCGAGCCGGGGGCGACACCGCCCACCGGGGACTGAGGAGAGCGAGGCGGAGCAGGGCAGCCACCACCCCCTCCCCTCCGCTCGCCTCGCCACACGGGATCCACACGCACCTCCCGGCGGTGCGGCGGGGCTGCGCGGCTACCGCTTCTCCCGGCCTGGTTACCAAGCACCGCGACGCCACTCCTCCCACGGCGGGCGTTTGCCGGCGGCGGTCCCGACGCTGCCCGGCCCGCGGCGGGCGGTTACCGGTGGTTACGGCGGCGGTCCCGGCGCTGCCCGGCCCGCGGCGGGCGGTTACCGGTGGTTACGGCGGCGGTGCCGACGCTGCCCGGCCCGCGGCGGGCGGTTACCGGTGGTTACGGCGGCGGTCCCGACGCTGCCCGGCCCGCGGCGGGCGGTTACCGGTGGCGGGAGCCGGAGCCGGAGCCGGGCCCGGCCGCTCGTCCCGGCGCATCCCCGGCCGCGCACGCGCACGGCACCCCCGCCGCTCCTGGGGATGCGGGAGCTCGTGCCGCACCTCGTGCCGAGCCGCGCCGCGCCGGCCAATCACAGCGGTGCGCGCGCGCCCCGTCGCAGCCGAGCGGAGCCGCCGCGGAGCGCGTGGGGGCGCGGGAGATGGGCAGCCAGCTGCGCCAATCGGAGGTGGCCGAGCTTAGGCGAGAACCAATGCGCGGTGATTGCGGCTGCCGGCCTCAGCCAATCGCCCGCCGCCCCTGTCCGGCCCCGCCCCTCGCCATTCGGCGCCGTTGAGGGAGGCCGTGCTGGTATGGCCGCGGTCTGCGGGACGGGACGGTGCCCATCGGCCATCGCCCTGCCCCACACGCCTGCAGCCAGGGAGCCGCCAGGATAAAGAATTTTCCAACCTGTAACCTCGAATTAACGAAACCCTTAGTTACAGGTGGACACTCACCCTTACGCTTCAACATACGTGCCGCGATGCCGAGCGAAATAAAAACATTTTAAATTAGTTACTAAAGCCAAGTTCATATCTGCCTCTTGTACTGAAGACAAGTGTTGGCATGTGCCTTGCAAAAGTCCCTAAAAAGATTTAAGACGAGAATGGAGACACATCATTCAGAGAATTTCATAACTGTGCTTCAGTGAAAATCAAAATGGTTTGAATAAAACATTATTAATATTGAACTGTTGAAAGTCGTATGTTTCTTAATTCTAATTAGTTGTTTTCATTAACTGTAAGCAATGCCTGCTTTTAGCCAGCACTAGTTTTCTTCACAGGCTCTTACTGTGATCCTTAAATCAGTGAAACCTTAAGTTTGCTACAACTAACCTGACAAGCTTCAATACAGAGAGCCAAAGGGAACGAAACATTGGACAACTGGGATCTTAAGTTTGTGGCCCTTCAAGGATATTGAAGTAACCAGAAATTTTCATGCCTGAAAATTTGGGAACTTATCATCTGAGAAAAAGATGATAAAAGGACTAAAAAAATATGGAACAAATTAGCATGAAGAGCATGAAACCAATAGAGGACAGAATACTAATTAATGAAGAGAATTATGTAACTTGGAACCAATGAGCATTAATTCCTTTCTTTGCTAAAAATATATAAATAAGTAAGGAAGTTTTGTATCTGTCCCAGCAGGGAAGCTAGAACTGTCAGCTGCACACATCTCTTGGCCAAGAATAAAGTAATGCCTTACTCCCTAACAATAAAAAGGTGAGTGTTGAGTGAGTCTTATTTTTCCCGATGTTTTCAGAGGATTTTGGTAACAGAACTAGCTTGAAAATTGTGGTTTCTTACCACGCAGACATTTAACATGATTTAGTAAAATGAGCCTGAGGTAGACCTCATTTTTGAGACTTATGTTTTAAACCACATGAAATTACTGAAGTAAAATTCCCCACTCAGTGAGCCTGGTGATCTGGTTTGTAATGCGAAAACTCTTTTTGGAGTTATTTTTTTCACTTATGGTTTACCGCCTTTGGTTTTGTAAGTGACAATCACAATGCCTAGACTTCAAAATCAGTTACTAATAAAGTTAGAGGAGGTTCCTTGTTCCCTGGACCTGAAATGATGCCTTCCTGTGGGAAGGCTTCTATTCAGCCTTTGATATGGGCTCTCAGCCATGGCGTGTGAAGGTTCAGTGCACAGATTACTACATGGAAGACCACAGGTAAGACCTTGCTTGCAAGGCGGAAAGGAAGCTGCAGGTGCTCCGTAACCACTCCTTGTGAACAAACCCCCTCATTCACTCGCTGGTGATGGCTGTTGCCAATAGCACACAGTTGTTGCTGAAGTGTTCTTCCACTGCACTCCCTTGTCATAAACTTCCTGGGGCTGGAATACTTGCTTTTCCTCTATTGCTTCTTCAGTGAAAATCCAGAATTCCTCTTAGGAGGTTCCTTTGATTTTATAGTGGAGCTGTGGTTCTGTAGACTGTGCAAGAAACCTCTGCTCTCGTGAAAGCACGGGGAAGAATTAATGGTTCTTGTGAAGCATTAATTATTTGCAACATCAGATAAAACCTCATTTACAGAGTGATTTACAGTTATGTAAAATATGTCAAAACAGAAACAAGGAATGAAGCACCAAGCTGGAATCACAGAATGGAAAATTTCATTTAATTCTTTTTTTTTTAAGTCCAGTCATTTCCTAATACAATTTCAAGTACTCTGATGAGCTTAAAAGTACGCTTCAACAACTAGAGAGAAATCTCATTTCACTGTGAAAATGAGACGTTTTTGTTTAAAAAATCTATTATTTTAGTATATTCTACGTTTTCACTGATTTAAATAATTGCTATGGAATTTCTTCCTTAGTGACACTGCTTTGTAACAAGTGAATGTAAGGCACCCTGGGCGCAGACACTACTCCCAACAGTGAATCTGTTACAGAGAAAGCAATGGCAAAATAAGGTTTTATGTTTTCACTGTAAGTGCTGAGGAACAAAGGTGTCCCCCAGTATACCTCTAAGCATGTTGGATTACTGCACTAATTCTTAACTGGCATTAAATTCCTAACCTAATGAAGGCTGCAATATTTGTTCCAATATATGTATGTACATACTTGTACGTGCACATATATGTATAGCACCACAGTATATAAACTTTTATGTACATAAAAGTCTAAATAAATAAAGTAAAAAAAAAAACAAAAAAAACTTCTAAGCAATATTATCAAAATATTAATAGAGGTTGTCATTGAAAAAAACACTCTTCTGAATTGTTTTGATGTAAAAAATTAATTCCATCTCATTCTAAAGGAAAAACACTGTGGCGTTAGGAATACAACTCTACATTAATGTAACCCATTCAATACAAATCCACAGTTTATTTCCTACTGTCAGGATACAATGCCTGTGCAGGGGAATGAGGGTGCAGTCGTGCTTCATGTGCTAAGGAAGTGATTCCGGAATTCTGACCATTAACAGGTAGATGTCCAAGGTAGATTGTCATTTCCCAAAAACTTTTCAAATGAGACTACTGTGGTTTACTCTTTATTTTCAAATTTATGTTGAATTTGAACTTCTGACAAGGAATGAAATATCAGTGCACGCTGATTGTCTAATTCCAGGATCCAAAATTTTATTTAAATAGATTTTCTTTTTACAAAAATATAGTAACACATAATACTCTTCTTTCCTGTAATTAATTCAATGCACAATTCACTGAGAAGTTTTACAATCCTCCAAAAAAAAAACCTATTTAAGTTTCCAGTTACTCAAATGATAATTTTTAGGCAATTTTCATTTTAAAAAATATTTAACATAACTTATGCTACATTAAGGCTGAAACACATTTATATTAAGTTTGAGATCAATTTTCATAACATTAAGTTGTTCCTTTGAACTACTTTAAATACTTGCAATGAATATTGACAACTTTTCCTTCAGTTCTAATTTCCCTGCAAAATTGACCAGAGTTTTTAATGGAGTTGAACGCCGTGTCCTTAATATTTTTCAAAAATGTCTGTTATTTTTAATTCTGGTGAAACTTCTTCTTTATGCTTTAGTCCCTGAGGCAGGCTGTAATGCCTTATCAATTGTTTGTAATAATATCTATTTAATCTTGCCAGACTAAGGTGAGATTTTTATATATGACATATTATGCAAGAACATTTTCTAGAAATTACTAACATTCTTTTCATATACCTTGTCATATAAAGATCTAAGATGTATCTCAACTCTTTCCTAATACATAGTATTAATAACTAAATGGGTATGGAATTGATCTTTTGACCCAGTATTTTTGTTTTGTTTTGTTTTTTGATTTGTTTTGTTTTAGTCACCCTTGTTTTCAAGAAATACAAAACAAGTGACACATCAAAAAGGTATATTTTTCAGTTTTCAGATGTCTTGATAAATACCTGGAAAAAAACAAAATGTATTATTTTCTAAAATCTGCAGGAGCTTTGCCTACGACATTAATTTTTTCCCTTCTTCCAGCTATGGCTAGGGTTTTGTTGAGGTGAACTCTCTGTGTTTGGAGACACAAGACTTGACTCCATTTCAGAAGGCTGATTTATTATGCTATATATTATACTAATATACTACATTAAAACTATACTAAAAGAACAGAGAGAAAAGAAAGATCAGAAGGCTACAAAGAATGGGAATAGAATAGACTGCATAACAGAAATCCTGTGACTGCTCACAGCCTTGGCACAGGTGGCTGTGATTTGTCATCAATTGAACACAATCCACATGCACCAATGGAAGATGCACCTGTTGCATTCCACAGCAGCAGATAGTTATTGTTTACATTTCTCTCCTGAGGCTCCCAGCTCCTCAGGAGGGAACAAATCCTAGGAAAGGATTTTTAATAAAATATCATAGCTACAGGTTTAAGGCCGTAGTAATGCTCTTCAGTGACTTCTGCTGAGAATTTCTATTTTGACTTACTGACATTTAAACACTTGGGAAAAACTTGGAAGAACTAAAAAATCAGAGGCTCATCTGAAAATGTTGATATAATGTAATTAATATCGAAGATGGTGACTGAAAAGAGCTTTGTTTGTCAAAACCCAAGTCCTAGCAACTACAGTTACAGCACTGCAAAAGTAGAGAATCATCCCATTTGAGCATTTCCAGCACTTTCAATGAAGTATGTTTAATTTCTCTCCTGAAAATAATTAACATAATTCTTCACTTGTGTTTTTTCACTCAAAATTCTATTCAAAATTAAATAAGACAAATGATTACCAACAGTATACAATTGGAAGAAGCAAAATTTGTTTAATAATGAATAATAAATATGCTTCTATTGACATGCTTACCTCACTCAGTATTGCCCAGACCGGAGAATCAGAGCTGACTGATAAACGAATAGCCTTTATTCTTCCTATTGCCTGATTGATGCTGCCTTCTGCAGTGCCATTTTCAAAAGCCCCTTAAGAAATCCACAAGACCCATGTGAACATTTATTAGAATGAAAGAACTTCCAAGCAAACTTTGTGAAAAAGCTCTTAATTACAAACTATAAATTAAATCCAAGAATACGTTAGGGAAAAAAAATG